GGGGGGGTTGGGGAGGGCCGTAACTGAGATGGATCGGAGCGATTTAGCCTGTTTAGGGTATGATAATGAGGTCTCTGTTATCTCGGATGTGTTCAGGATTTTTTTTTTTCTTTTTTTGCTGAACTTTATATAAACTTTATCATCATCGTGACCTTTTTTTGTATGTTTTATTTTGCTATGATTGTTTATGTCCAGATGCAAGTATCTGTATGTGTTGTTTTTATGAATTGGTTATCATATAATCAAAATAATTATCGTCAATACACGACTTGCGATCCAACCGCCATAGCCTTAACGAATAAAAGATACTCTAACGGTTATTTTGAATTTGAATTAAGTCGTCCCATTGGCTGATCGCGGAACCTCTCATTTATCTGTCCGAGTGAAAAGGAAGATGCCAGGAAGAGGAGGAGGAGGAGAGGAGGAGAAGAAGGTGGGTGGCCGCGTGGGCGGATGGTGGGCGGGATGGGACCGTCAGTGGGCGTGGAAAGAGAAGGAAAGCCGTGACAGATGGGCGCTGGGAACCGTCGGTGGGCTGGAGGCTGATCTTATTCTGGAATTTATGTGTATCCATGAATCTATCTTTATACACACACACACACACACACACACACACACACACACACACACACACACACACACACACACACACACACACACACAACACACAACACATATATATATATATATATATATATATATATATATATAATATATATATATATATATATGTATATGTATATATATATATATATATATTATGGTAATGTATTTTCGCTGTGTTGTATTGTATTTCTGAAGGGAATCTTTGTGTTTTATCGAGTCGAAGTGAAAATCTGATTTAAGTTAGTGAGGAAACATTTAAATAATCTGTTTAGTAAGAAAAAAAATGCATAAAAGAATAAGAAGAGATAAACCCGAAAAGAAAGAGAAAGAACCACATTTTTTTTTTTTTTTAATAAATCGTGAAAACAGAAAATCCGAATAGTGGAGACGAAAGTGTCACTAAGCATCTCGGCTTCCTAACGCTTTCAGGCAGAAATCAAAAGCAAAGGAACTCAAAGTCGAAATAAGAAAAAAAAAAAAAAAAACTTTCCCAAAGCATTTCCCGCCATGTTGTACCACTCGAAAACCCAGCTGATCGAAGCGAAGGAAGAAGAGAGCGAGAAAACCAAAGAACCGTGGATGGAAGAATGCGAGAAGCGGCGCCTAAGCTTAGAGCGGCGAAAGGAGAGCTGGGAGAGACGAAGGGAGAACTGGGAGAGAAGGGAAGAGAGAGATAAGAGAGACAGACTCTTAGCCATGGGAGCCAAGGCGCTCTGCTTCAATCTCAGACGGAGGAGGAAACTGGAGGCGGTAAGTTCCTGGCTGAGGTTCACGACTCTGTTTACACTGGGATTGGGTTATGCTGTGCTTGCTCTCTCCGCGACTGCATTCACGTTGCATTTGCAGTCTTTGCGTGTTTGTCTTTATGTTGCATTTACAGTGTTCTTGTTCTCTCCGCGACTGCATTCACGTTGCATTTGCAGTGTTCTTGTTCTCTGCGTGTTTGTCTTTATGTTGCATTTGCAGTGTTCTTGTTCTCTGCGTGTTTGTCTTTATGTTGCATTTGCAGTGTTCTTGTTCTTTGCGTGTTTGTCTTTATGTTGCAATTACAGTGTTCTTGTTCTCTGCGTGATTGCATTTATTTGTTTATTTATTTACATTGTACTTGTTCCTTTCGTGGTTGTATTTGCTGTATATGCATTGTTCTTGTTGTTTTCGTGATTGCATTTATATCATATTTTCATTTCTCTTGTTTTCTGCGATGATATTTACATCATATACAGAATTAGTTTTGCATCAGTTATTTTTTTCTAGAAGAGATAACGATTTCTCTTGGATATCGGTTCATGTTTGGTATTTTAGGGCAAGAAAATACGCCTTTATTAGTTATAAGATCTATGGGCCAAGAATCCTACGTTTTTCCTCCAAATCCCATACATCAAAGTCAATAGAAAAATCCATATCTCCGAGGCAAGTCTAACCCTTTCCCTTTTCTTTTATGGTACAGCTCGTCCGAATTCTTTGTAGGCCTATAAAACCCAAGCAAACCTCCCGGGTAAACCGGGTAAAGTGATTTATTGCCAGCTAATTGCCTGTGTTTAGGCCCCGCCATTACAATTACCCATACATGATCCGCGTGTGTAATTTAGCATTCTTGAGAACTGACCACTTTGAAGCGGAGAGGGCATTGTCGCTCTTATCGCCGGGTGAAATAGGGTCGCGTCAAGCGGAGAGCGCTGAGCTTTCGGGCCATTGTCGCCCTTATCGCCGGGTGAAATAGGGTCGCGTTTTGTGTCTCTTGGCTAAGGGTAAGTGTTCTGTCAACGTTTAGCGGGGAATAAGACGTATAATGCGAGAAGGCATTGCGGATTTTTTTCCTCTTTTCCTCTTTCCTTTCTTTTCTTTTCGGGGGATGATGGTGGGTAGGCCTAATGGGGCGTGATAGGCCGTGTAGGGGGAGAATCGGAGACTGGGATGCTCTTCTCTTTACCTCGCTTTTTAAGGAACTAAGTTGTGTGTGTGTGTGTATATATATATATATATTGTGTGTGTGTGTGTGTGTGTGTGTGTGTGTGTGTGTGTGTGGTGTGTGGTGTGTGTGTGTGTGTGTGTGTGTGTGTGTGTGTGTGTGTGTGTGTGTGTGTGTGTGTGTCTATGTGTGTGTGTGTATATGCATGTATGTATGTGTGTATGTATTTATGTATGTAAACTTATATATATGTATATATGTGTGTGTGTGTGTGTGTGTGTGTGTGTGTGTGTGTGTGTGTGTGTGTGTGTGTGTGTGTGCGCGCGTCTGTATGTATATGTGTGTGTCTGTTTATGTGTGTGTGTGTGTGTGTGTGTGTGTGTGTGTGTGTGCGTTCAAATGATAGCGTGTCTCTTGCATATTTATCTCTCCTTATCCGAACGTATTCCCACCGCTGAGAAGAAATATGTGTGACCGGACGCTCGGGAGGGAGAGAAAGGAGGGAAAAGGGAGAAGGGAAAGACGTTGAAAGGAGATAGGAAAGGGAGAGAAAAATAGGGGAAGGGAGAGAGTAGGAAATGAAGAGAAAAAGATGTGGAAAGAGGCAAAATGAGGCAGAAAGGAAGGAGGAGGATATTGAAGGGAAGGAGATGGGGGGAAAAGGGTAAGAAAGAGGAAAAGGAAGAGAGAGAAGAGAGAAGAAAAAATAAGAGAAAGAGAAGGCGATAAAGGGAGAGAAAAATAGGAGAAGGGAGAGTAGGAAATGAAGAGAAAAAGATGTGGAAAGAGAGAGAATGAGGCAGAGAAGAAGGAGAAGGATATTGAGGGGAAGGAGATGGAGGGAAAAAAGTAAGAAAAGAGGAAAAGGAAGCGAAGAGGAGGAAGAGAGAGAGAGAGAAGAGAGAAGAAAGAAATAAGAGAAAGAGAAGGCGATAAAGCAGGCCCGAAGAAGCTCCCTTAGCTAAGAGCGCTGTAAGGGGGGGGGAGGAGGGCAGGCAGGGGGGTCAGGGGTAAGGTAAGGGAGAGGGGGGAGAGGGAGAGATTTATGGGTAAGGGTAACGAATCTGTACCTCGCACGCCCTTCCTCGAACCCCAGCCCGCCCTCGACCACGCCCACGCGCCCACCTGAGTCAAACGTGGTGAGATATGGGCGGGAAGTGCGCGGTGGGGGCGAGTGCAAGGAGGCTGTGGATTGGGGCGTTCTTCGTGTTTTGTTATGTGTTTTTTTTATTTTTTTTTATCTTAATTTTTTTTTTTTTTTTTTTTTTTTTTTCCTGCGACTTAGGCCTAGCTATCTTTTGTGAGTCCGCTTTGAGATTTTTTTGGTAGGTTTCTTTTTTTTCTTTTTTGTTATTTATATGTTAAGTATCTCCATTTAATTTTGGGTGTATGTACATTTTTTTATAAAGTATCCAATATTTCATATAATGTTATTTGGTAATAGGTATTCTTACAACTATATATGTAAATACAAATACATACATATATACAGTACATATAGATGTGTGTGTATTTATATATATTTATAGGAATGTATATACATACATATGTATAAATGTGTATATATATGTATGTACATATGCATAATATATATATATATATATATATATATATAATATATATATAATATATATATATATATATATATATTTATATATAATATATGTGTGTGGTGTGTGTGTGTGTGTGTGTGTTGTGGTGTGTTGTGTGTGTGTTGTGTGTGTGTGTGTGTGTGTGTGGTGTGTGTGTCCTACACTAGCAACTCGCCACGTAGATACACGGAGTTCCGGAAGAGCGAGCGCTCCCGACGAACACCCAAGAAGTGCCACGAAGCCCGAGTTAGCGGCACATGACCCCGAATGGAGCTAATGAGAGCGAGGCAGACTTCTTCGGCTCGTTACGGACTCTCCGTTGTAGTCTCCGCTTGAGGTATCGGCGGAGGGGGGCGGGGGTGGTGGGGGGAGAGGGCAAGGGGGGGAGAGGGGTAGGGGGGGAGAGTGAGAGGGGCGGAGAGGGGAGGGGGAGGGTAGGGGTTAGGGGGGAGGGGGGAATGGGGTGAGGTGGGTGGGTGGGAAGGGGTGGTGGATGCGAAGAGGTGGAAGAAGGACGGAGAGTTAGGGAAGAGAAGTGAATAGAGGGAGGGCAGGAGGGAAGGTGAATATATATGTGTGTGAAGAGAAGAGAGAAAAGAGAGAGAAAAGAGGGGAGAACGACACACACACAAGACACAAAAACCACCCAGACAGAACCAGCCTCCTCACGACAGAGCCAGACAGCCGGAGCCCCGAAGCCCCCGAAGCCCAACCCGAAAGCCGGATCTCCCGCGACAGGAACAGCCTCCCCCTAATGTGCATCTGGGCCGCGTCCCGTGTGCTCCTCGGGGCTTGTCATCCTCTCCTTCATTAACCTACATCCCCACGGGCGAATCCTACATTGCTCGACGACCCTCGCGTGGAAGGTCCTACGCGGGAGAGACCTCGTGGGGTTACGTTATGTGTGTTATGATGCTGTGGGTGGTTTGTTGTCGGTGGTTGGGGTTGGCGATGTCGGGGGGCTTTGGGGCTGGGGTTTGGCGTTTGGCGGTGGTTGGGGTTGGAGTTGTCGGTGCTGGTTGGCGTTGGCGTTGTCGGTGGTTGGTGTTGGCGTTGTCCGTGTTGGTGTTGGCGGTGTGGTTGGGGTTGGCGATATCGGTTGGTTGGGTTGGCGTTGTCCTGGGGGTGGCGTGTTGGGGGTTGGGTTGCGGTTGGGTGCTGGGGTTTGGGTTGGCGTTGGCGTTGTCGGTGGTTGGGGTTGGCGTTGTCGGGCTGGGGTTGCGTTGTCGGTGGTTTGGGTTGGGTTGTTGTCGTACTGGGGTTGGGCTTCGGTGATGGCTGTGGGTGGTTGTTGTTGGGTGGTTGGGGTTTGGCGTTGTCCGGTACTGGGTTGGCGTTGTCGGTGGTTTAGGGTTGGCGTTGGGTGGGGTGGGGTTGGCGTTGTCGGTGGTTGGGTTGGGTCCGTTGTCGGTTGGTTGGGGTTGGCGGTTTGTCGGTGTTGGGTTGCGTTGTCGGTGGTTTGGGGTTTGGCGGTTGGGGTGCTGGGGTTGGAAGGTTGTCGATAACTGGTTGGCGTTGGCGTGCTGGGTTGGCGTTGTCGATGCTGGGGGTTGGCTTGTCGTGGGTTGGGGTTTGGCGTTGGCGGTTGCTGGGGGTTGGCGTTGTCGGGGATATTGGGGGTTGGGCGTTGGCGGTGCTGGGGGTTGGCGTTGTCCGGTGGTTGGGGTTGGAACGTTGGCGGTGGCTGGGGTTGGGGTGGCGTTAGTCGGATGGGAGATGACGTCTTGTTTATTGTGTCACTTTCAATTTGTTTTTCTGTCTCTGTCGGCTGCTAAATCATGTTATCATTTATGGGTGTGTAGTGTTTATTTTTGTCATTTTTAGTTATTCTTAACTCTATTATTAGAATTATTGTTGTTATTTTATTCATATTATTATATTATTATTATTATTATTATTATTTATTATCGGAGCAGCATCATTAAATATTATTATTATGTATTATATTATGTATTTGTCATTGTATCACAAATTGTCATTCATCACATTTATTTTTACTCCTATCGCTCCCTTTGCTTTCTTGCACTACTTCCTCTATTATGCTCTGCAATAATTGTGAAATATCTCCGTCTCACACTTTCGAAATTTTCATTTCTAATTATGATGTAACGCCATGAAACGACATAATTTTTACCTTCTCCCATTTTTAAAGTACCTTTCTTTCCTTCAAAATGTGTGCTAGCAGAATAACGCAGTATCCCCGTTAATGCGACGTATGTAAAAGCAACTGTGTGTGTGAGAAAGAAACGATGTCTCATAATGAGCCGTTTATGTCACTGGTAAAAGACCCCAAGGGCGGAGAGGGCGTTTTTCGTGAGGGAGGATTGTGTGTGTGTGTGGTGTGTGTGTGTGTGTGTGTGTGTGTTGTGTGTGTGAGTGTGTGTGTGTGTGTGTGTGTGTGTGTGTGTGTGTGTGTGTGTGTGTGTGTATCAATCTATATCTATGTGTGAGTGAATATATGTAGGCCATATACGTATATATACATATATGTACATACATATATTCTACACGCACACATATATGTATGTATGTGCGTGTATGTATGTGTGTATATGTAATGAAAACACACTACCGTGTTGATAATATGAAGGAAAACCCACAATGCACAAACTAGATTTAATTTCATCAATAAATCTAGTTTGTGGCATTGTGGGTTTTTTTTCTTCCATGTGTGTTATATACAAATAATATATGCAAAAAACTAAATATGCAAAGATGAATGAATGAAACAAGCACGTCAAACTTCCACCAAGACAAAGAAGACTTACTTTTGAAAAGCGACGAGGAAGTACATAGGCGTCGCGTCGGGACCGGTGTGGCGAGGTGTGACCGAGAGGAAAGGGAAAAGTCAGGTGAGACAAAGGGGGCGGAGACGAAGGGAGGGAGAAAGAGGGAGGAGGGGGAGATGGGAGAGATTGGGTGGTGGTTGAGGTTGGGTTGAGGTTGGTTGGGGATTGTAGCTTTGTGTTGAAGGGGTTGGGGTAGTTTTTTTGAGAGAGTTAAAAGATATGAAAGGAAACGAGAGTTTTCGTATTTTTATGTTGGTGTGTGAATAAAATGAGCTGTGAAAGAGGAGAGGAGACGACGAGAGAGAGAGAGAGAGAGAGAGAGAGAGAGAGAGAGAGAGAGAGAGAGAGAGAGAGAGAGAGAGAGAGAGAGAGAGAGAGAGAGAGAGAGAGAGAAGAGAGAGAGAGAGACAGACAGACAGAGACAGAGAGAATACAGAAATATTAGTACATTCATACATTCCTTTTATCCCTGGTGACAAACGTTTTAAGAGAAGCGTTCGAAATTCCCACCGTCTCTTTGTTCCGCCGTTTTTTCTGTCCATTTCCTGCTAAAATGAATTACCTGACCCGTTCTCGGAAAGCGACAAGACTCAGGTTGTGATTCACACGCTCGTCGTACGCCCGGCAACGGTGGGGGGTCTGGGAAGTCTTCAAATGACCATGTTTGCAAAAAAAGAAAAGAAAAAAAGGGAAAAGAATCCACACTTATGTTGACATTTTTCCCTCTCGCTCTCTTTTTTTCCTCGCTGCATGTGTGGAAACGTTATGATGATGACTTGTGAGAATTCCAGTACATTTCAAAACTTTCCGAGTGGAATACGCAGTGTCTTTAAATATTTGCCATGTCTAATTCTCAATCTGTTTAGGAATTCTCTCAGACTCTTAAACCCATCCACAAACCACAAAGTTATTCCGAAGAACCGGAACAGACCTAAAGAAAGACATCTATATAGCCATAACATGACCGGCTCCATAAAAGCCGTACGACACGTTTTCCACGTCCCCGCCACTACGCTCAGCTGATGAATGACAAGTTAGTACTCATCTGTGGTCGGAGGGAAGAGTTTGTGTTAATTAACTCTGTCTCTTCGCTTTTTCGTGGCTTTTCCCAACGAAAAAATTTGTGAGAGAGAAGCTGTGACGTTTATTGTTAGAGATGAGAGCAAGTTGAGAAGAAATTGATAAGTTCGGAGAAGGAAAAGAGAGAGATGTGTGTGAGATTTCGAGTTTGATGATAAACCCAATGGAATTTTTGAATGTGGTACAAACACGTGCGTGAAAAATTCGCTGCCATGACAGGGGTGAGTACGGGGATTAGTAACGTTTTATTTATTTATTTATTTATAGTTATTTTCCTTGGCAATACTAACGTTAGGGTCCATGATAATGTAAGTGGCTCTGTATGTACTTGTGGTGGTATCCAAATTTTGGTATTTCTCTTTTGAAGTGCTTGTGTGTTTTGGAACGCAAGCAGAAGGGAGTCAGCAAACAGATATTGCTTTCAGGGTCAGTCAGAAACTGATACCAAAGTGACGCGGTTTTACTTTTACAAAAGGCGAAAAGGCAATTACCAGTTTGGTGGAGAGAACAAAAAAATGAGTGAAATGTGAGGATTTATGTGATAGTATTTTTTAAACGTTCATATTGAGTTTTGAAGAGCAAGTGTATTGAAAGGGTAAAATCTTGCGCACTTGGGATATAGTTTGTGAGTGTGCTTATTATCCTTGTTTTGTATTTGTTGCAGAATTGATGTGCTCAATCGTACTGCAGTACAGATGAGCCAATTTCCCAATTTACCATCTCATTCCATTGGCATTTCTTAACAGGAAAACTTTTTTCCCTCTTACAATAAAAGAGTCAATGATGACTCACTTGCCTTATGAGTAGGAAAATCTCATGAGTCAGTTGTGAATCAGATCTTGAGAGCGTGGGTGAGGGAGATCAGGCAGAGTTTAATTATTTCTGTGTTGACTCAGAATATCAGTTTTTGATTGGTTTTAGCATGCCGTACCATCTTAATTAATGATTCTCAGATAATTGTTTTTGTTTACATTTCTTCACGACTGTGTTTCGTATGTGGTTGATAAGGTTATTTGTTATTAGTTACACGTAAATATAAGTGAAATGGCGGTGTTAATTCATGAATAACGGTTATTAGGAAGTGATGTGAAGTATGTGCGTCTGGTCTAACCAAGGTCGGTAGAAATGCGAATGGGTGGACAGTGTTGGTATGCTTGATATCGATCGCGTAGGTTCTTAATCATCTCTCTTCTCTCTTCTCTCTCTCTCTCTCTCTCTCTCTCTCTCTCTCTCTTCTCTCTCTCTCTCTCTCTCTCTCTCTCTCTCTTCTCTCCTCTCTCTCTCTCTCCTCCCTCTCTCTTCTCTCTCTCTGTGCGTGTTTGCATGCATACGTGTGTGTGTACGTGTTTGCATGCATACGTGTGTGTGTATATAATGTATCTAATTTCCCTCCTCTATCTATCTATCTCCCCCTCCTCTCTCTTCTGTTTCTGTTTCCCTCAGACTTTTCCCCCCCTCCTCCCCCCTTACCCCCGTCCCTTGCCCGCCCAGGTCCCTCCTACACCCGAACACGAGACGAAAAAGACACCGCCTAATTGCTCGTAGCGATGCAGCCATGTCTTCACGCGCTGGCATTTTGCTGCTCCAAATATCAAACAGAAAAATGAAAGTCGCGCTGTCGAGTCTTGTCTGTTTTCTTCTGCTTGTGACCGAGTGATCCCCTGACGCGACTCACCGTTGGGAAGCAGGGCTCCAGGGCCGTGCACGCGCTCACGTACTTGCTTGCTTAGACGTGCATGTAGGCCTATATCTAAAATTTTCATGCGTGTGTAAGTACATACAGATGTATACTATATTTATGCTTGTAGCTATGTATGTGGAGACACAAACGGGAACGAGGCGAGGGCAGACAGACAACAGATACAACACGCGCGCGGTGCAGAGAGAGAGAGAGAGAGAGAGAGATGACCGAGGTGTGGTCAGGTAAAAAGGAAGGGAGGGAGGGAGGGGGTAGGAGTGCAGAGGGGAGCGGCAGAACGTCTAACCAGAGGGGATGCATAACCTCCCCCCCCAGCCCCCCCCCT